AGAAGGTCGGATGCACTAAATATAGTCCTTTCAAATTCTTCTTCAGTTTCCTATCCATCATATAATAGCACCGCTTAAGCCATCCAAACGTTGGCATATTATTGCCGAGAGTGGACAGACCCGCGTTATGGAAGTATATGAGGATATAGTCGTCAGCAATCAGATTGTGGAGAGTCGTCAACACATACCTATCAATCGTTAGAAGCGTTATTATTTTTCACTTAAAATATATCAACAAAATAAGTGCAAAGAAATTAAATCACATGAAGAGGTGATCCATAACGTAATTGTAGTCTTTTCGTGAGCGGTCGGGCAGATAACAAGCGGAGAATACTATGATAGCAGGACTGGCGCCTAATTTGAACAAATCATGTGTTGAGTAAATTAAACAACATTTTTAAATAACAAAACACATGAACACAAACCCGACTGATGGCTGTTTCCAGTACTGGAGTGAAAGTATCCGCCGTGTGATATGACTTTCTTGTAGGGATCGATAACTTTCATATCGATTGGTTTGACCTCACCGTCGGGACCGATAGGACAGGACTGAGACCACGCTCTCGATTCGTCCATTTCTTGGCGCGCAGAAAGCTCTACGATCGCTGCGGACGGCTCTCCTTCTCCACCATTAAATTCATCGCTTTTGAAGAATTCGCGATTCACTGGAATCTTCTTTTTAGTAGTCGATGGCCGCCGAACCAAACCTTTATAAACATTATTACAAAAACTATTAATTTTACTAATTCTGACTAAAAAATATCACATTTAAGCATAAGATAACAGAGAGTAGAAGAGAAGTAAAGTATCAGAGCTTGAAGTGAATGATCAAATGTGATCACCAGTAGATTTAAATGACAGGTTTTTGTTTGTTTGCTTCGCTTTTCTAACCTTTACTTTCACGCTCTTCGTTGGCATTCAAATTATTGGCATTATTATCATTATTGGGTTCACTGGATGAGAGGGGATGGCTGTCAGGAAGAGCAATGCCGCCGACTCCAGGACTTAACTCATCCGATGAGTTAAGAATCTGTTGGATATTAATTCGTGGACTAATTTTCTTTCTCTGACTTTGTGTTAGAGAAGCATTGCGTTTAAAGGGAGTTATCTGATCCCTCTCTTCGTTCAATGATTGGCTTAAATCGGATTCAGA